GGAGCTTTTCGAACTGCATTACGTGCGGCAACACGGATCTGGGCGCACGTGGACATCTTTCATGTTGAGGTGTGATAAATCGATGGCGAAGGTACAGCCGTGGAGATGAATATCAAAGTTCAGAGATCTGCTTTCTATTTTCATATCGTTTGACGGCGGTATTGATATTTCACTTACAGAACAAGAAAATATGATTGAATTGTTATATAAACAACGAAAATGGAATGGATAAAGCTCTCTCTTATGAACGATGTCTCATTCAGCCAGGGTTGCAAAAAAAATGTATACCTTTCCTTCGATATATGTTTACTTTAATATTTACTGAATACTTGCTATTCAAATTTGCACGCTGAGGTAGTTAAACAGGAATTTTCACTTAAGGGCATAAGTTTTTACATAGAGCTAGATTTGAATGCGATCCAATAAATCTTGACATTGGAAAAACTAATTGATCTACACAGCAAAAAAAAATAGTAAAAAGTCGAAGCAAAATCTGGAAAATTAATTTTGTGTGGAATTTATAACAAGTGTTTTAAGTACTTTTCAAATCTCAATTCAGTGCTGACAAAAGAGGAAAATAAAAATGCAACACTTTTAAAGTTGCTTAAGGAGACGTATCGGGTTTATTCAAATACACAGATGTACTTGAAATTTATATATGCAGCGTATTACCCAGTGCTCCATCTGTGCGTCATATTTTTTTGAAATTTTTTTTGAATCTAGATTTTGAGATATTGTTGTTGAAAGTTGTTCATTTTAACATAGGTTTATATGGCGAAGATGGACGGTGCGGCTCTTTTTTGCCAATAACTGAGAAAAAAATATAGAAATTGTGAAACAAAACTTTCCCATACAGTATTATCTTATTTTTGATGTAAAACTAATGTAAGTTTTGAACATAGTACAGCTGTATTCATTAGAAACAGAAACCAATAATTGGATTTATGTCTGACTTAAGGATTAATGTGGCAACGTCGCAATCAGCTGACAGCAAGGAGTGAATACATTTGAAAGACTTGATAAAAACGAAATTGATTTCAAACATATACATTTTCCCTAAATTCCATGTACATTGTTATCAACAATAAATTATCCACAACAGATGATTTTTTGTAATGTTTTTAAAAAACTAGATTAATTAAAAAAGACTAGGAAGCTGTTATATATTTATTGGAATAAAAATACAGTTGATAAATCCTTTTAATATATGGTTTATAAAAACATCGTAATCATTACCCAGAAATATTTAGGGTTACATAAAGTTTTCTTTACTTGATTAATATAATTATTAATACTTGAGATAAAAGCATTTGTACGGAATAACAAAGGAACAAAAATATTTCTGAGCAAATTTTATATCTAAAAAATTAGTTATAGTTGCAAAACTTTTGTAATACTACTAAAATAAAGATGAAAAACACGAACACTGGGTAATAATGTAGTTTCTATCACAGAACCTTCAAAATTGCATCCAATATTTTCTTTGACTTGGACTAGAGATGGGCGCGATTGTCATTTCATTTCTTTAGAACTAAATTAACATAATTCTCGTTGTTTTACCAGTTCACATGATTTACGGATTTTAAATAAAGGATACAAATCTTCGCGAGGATAATACGCTATATATAATTATATTGTACATAGTTTACACACAATACATTTTTGAACGCGTACGCATCTTTACCCGAATTTGACGCGCAATATCTCCGATGTCCGAGGTCTGTAGGCTCGCGGTGTGTAGAACTGTTAGTTAATTATTAGCGCTGTTGCCACATCTACATAGTCTTTATGCGTTCATTAAATATAATTTAAAACTACTTAAATATATTTTTATGTTGTTAATTAGTCAATATGTATGCTATGTGCTTATGAGTAGATTTCTTTGCTATATAGATAATGTTTATCGCAAATAATTTCAATAGAATTTAATTTTTTCAAATATACAGCGGGTTTTAGCCCCATAAGAAATGCATGGGACCCCCCTGCGCTCCTCACTTCCCTCGGACCCCGATATACCCCCTTAAAGATCAGTTTCTCCAATAACCTATTTAATTAACGATATCGAACTATAAAATACGCGAAACTAGGGAAAATCAGTTCACTTATTAGATATTCCCTCTGCAAACCTCGATGTATGTATAAAACAGTCGTATAAAGTCAAAGAAGCCGTATAAATGTTCCAGAGGCCTCGGTAATATCGAACAAAAGTGATTCTTTCTGTCCTGAATAGCAAACAGCCTTCCTAATCCAGTGCCATTCCAGTACGGTTCTTCAAATAACTTCCTCGCACAGTTCTATGTTTGTAAAATGAGCAGGCATAGAATTTTAATTCTCAGTGTTATTTTATCGTTTCTCTTAATCGTAGCGCCTTGTGTCTATTCGCAAACAACAGAAAATCACCCGGCAACAAACCCCTACGGATCAAATCGGGAAAATAGCGGACTTTTGAAAGAAACTGATGTCGAGAATTGTATTCAGAAACTCCACCACTTAAAATCGCAACACTTCTTAACCTCCGACTGCTGCTTTAGTAAAATATGTCCAAATATCACGACCATTTCAAACAGGCAACCTCAAATAAGGACGCTACTTATGAGATTATGCAGTGAAGGACTGCACTTGAGAGAAGCGCTCAGCGGCTGCTGCAATGCGTTAAATAATCATACAAACTTCGCCAGGGTATTTTCGAGTACAGCTATCGCGAACTGTATGGACGGAAGAGGACAGATAAAATTTGAAGTTACGGGAAACCCTCACGAGGGATCGATGAAAACGTAAGTAAATATATGGTCATTTTTGGTTACTTTTCTTTAAAAGCTAAACGTTGAGCGATACAAAATCCATAATAGGTTTGGACTAATTTCATTACATTTTTAGGAAAAAAAAGGTGTTAATAATATTCACTAATGATAGTCACTTCACACTTGAGACCGTTAGCCATCAATATATTTTATCTATATTTTTAAAATTTTATTGAAAATTAACTGTAAAGTTATGAATCAAAATATCAATCTATAACAGTTAATAATTAGCCATATTGATACGTTACTGTCACTTCTGGTGTACCCCAAGGATCTCACCTGGACCTGCTTCTTTTTTATCTATTTTTGTATGATATTGGATAATGTTTTACAGTATTAGGTCTTTGGTTGTATACACACGATTTGAATGTGCACAAACCAACATGTAACACTTAGTATTTTACACAGCCCCACAAAAAAAAGGATCGTATCTTGTATTCAGACCCTTATATTTTCAAGTACTTTTTCCCGCTGAATCCGAATCTGCCATCAGATTTGACCCAACGGGTCTGAGTTTTCGGGAAAATTAAAAAAACAGGTCAAAATTCACAAAAAAACGTCATTTACGATCGACGAAAGTTATAAAAAATCAAATTAGTCTACCAGCTCACTAGACATGATTTTTCACTCGTTTAATTCCAATTTATCATCATAGAGTCAGACAAGCTGGTCCAATTTCATTCAAAAACAGAAAATAGATCAAAATGCTTAAAAACGCCATATTCATGGCATAGGTAATTCGTGTTGCAGAGTTCTGGATTCATCTTTTTATCCACCCACCCATTTATGAATTCATACATCTTTCTATCAAGTCGTTCATGCATGAATACGCATATTTATTCATCCACCTGTACCACCTATAAAACCAACCCATCTAGCCATCTACTTTTTGTACTGAGAGATGAGATAACAGTCTTGAAGATTGAGAATGCAATCAAATTGTAGAATACACTACTTTCTAAACAAAAGAAAACGATATCTACAAATCATTATTATTTTTGTTGCTATAATGTGTTCTCTTTTCTTCAAAGGATCTATGCAAAGGGTTACGCTTTCGTTTAGTCCCTCTATTTTTCGTTTCTCTTTTTAACAACCAAAAATAATCGGCCATCATGTTTTCATTCCGTCTTCCTTGATATCGCTGTTCTATAACCTTAATATCCTGATGAAATCGTTCGCCTTGTTCTTCGCTATAATTTCCAAGATTTTCAGGAAACCAATCCAGATGTGAATGAAGGAAGTGCAACTTGTAGTTCATCAAACATCTCAGATCTTGGAAGTCTTTTATCATTCTTGATACAATTTCTTCGTAGTTAGGACTCTTGTTGTCTCCTAAAAAAATTGTCGCTATAGCTTTGAAACTAGTCCAAGCACTCTTCTCTACGCTACTCATTGTAGTGATGAATGTTGCATCCTTGAACAATGTCCGAATCTGAGTCCATCGAATACACCTTCTTTCAATTTCGCCTCAGAAATATTCGGAAATTTTCGCCCTATATATATAAAAATAAGAATGATTTGTAGATATCGTTTTCTTTTGTTTAGAAAGTAGAGTATTCTACAAGTTTTATTGCATTATCAATCTTCTAGATCTAGACTGTTATCTCATCTCTCAGTACAAAAAGTAGATGGATATATGGGTGGATGGGTGGGTTTTATAGGTGGTACAGGTGGATGAATAAATTGTATGAATTGATAAATGGGTGGGTGGATAAAAAGATGGATCCAGAACTCTGCAACACGAATTATGCCATAAAAATGTCGTTTTGATCTATTTTCTGTTTTTGAATGAAATTGGACCAGCTTGTCTAACTCTATGATGATAAATTAGAATTAAACGAGTGAAAAATCATACGACTAGTGAGCTGGTAGAATAATTTGATTTTTTATAACTTTCGTCGATCGTAAATGACGTTTTTTGTGAATTTTGACCTGTTTTTTAAATTTTCCCGAAAACTCAGACCCGTTGGGCCAAATCTGAAAGCAGATTCGGATTCAGTGGAAAAAAATACATGGATATACATGAGTCTGAATACCAGATCCGATCCTTTTTTTTTGTGGGGCTGTGTTATTAATACAGATTTTTTTCTGTAGTTCATTAAGTTAGGTTAGAAGCGAATTTATATATTATTCACTTAATTTTAAGTTATATAAAAAAAATAGTATATTGAGTTGTCTCAAATGAAAATAAAATAAAAATGAATGTAACTATTTTTTATTATTCCCTTTCGAACGAACACCGAACAAAAGGAAACAAATGTTGGAGCAATTCTTCTCATTGCAACACCTCCTTGCGCCCACCCCTACAGCTTGTTCCTGAGATTAGTCTGATTGAGGGCCCGCTCTACCAATTTCGCGCAGTCCTCGGCACATCCGATAGACAGGGTTATCCCTGCGCCCCCATGCCCATAATTGTGCACTATTCGGAGGAGGCCATTCTTTCCCCCTGGCTTAATTTCTATTTCCAATCGCACCCGCTCTCGGCCTGGCCGCAAGCCAACCTGATGCTTAATTACTTCGGCCGTCGCCAACGCTGGAACTAGCTCCGAACAGTTCCTGCGAATAAAAAAGTGCTGGTAAAACTCGGAAAACTGTATTCCGGGTGGATCAGCGAAACAGACGGTTCGTTTCCATTGAAACTGATAATAGTCCAGACAGTATCGTTTCAAAAAGCCATATTTGGGTGAATCGTATATCCACGGAGATTTTTGACTTTTTGGCTTTCAAATATCACTAGAAATGAAAATTTTTCTATGCGCATAAAAAAAACGTGGGCTTAACTTTTCGCGACAAAATATGTTTAAAAAAATCGAAATATGTCATATTTTTCTTCCTATTAAATTATGTATTTTTCAAAAGTTGATTTTAGGCGAAAATGGAAGAGGAAAAATATGTTTGCAATTAAATTTTTTACAAAATATGTATAGTTAGAAATCGAATGAATCGTGATTATTATGGTAAAAATCGAAAAAGTCGCAAAAATGGGGTTAAAAAACAATACTTTTTAGGATTTTTTTTTGGGGTATTTAAATTGGATATAGGACCTTTATACTTGACTCAAAAAAACTTCATGTTATGTAGAATTATCACACCAAATTTCATCAAAATCGATTCAAAAGATTTTGCATAATAATTTTGCAATCCAGATTTTGAAAAAAAAAATTGCAAAGTTTCAAAATTTTGCACAGCAAAAACCAAGGCCCTTAAATACTTGAAAATTTAATCACATATAGAAGGGCTCTCAAGCTTTCAAACTTTTTTGAAAAATCCGAATCCGTCAATTAGGAGAGCTCTGGCACTTGTTTAAGTCGAATTTTTGTACTTATAAACAATTAGAACTTTGTGAATATTCAATCAAATCAAATTTTTTGAAGCAGGTTTTAAAAGTTCTTGGAAAGACGCTTCTTTAAAAAAAAAACAGAACGATTGATCAATTAGGTACATAGTTATAGCCGATTCAATTTCGAGCAGGCCGAAGCGGCCGCGCTCTCTGCTTCCCCTACCACCATCACCCGTACGATTTTATTGAATTTCTCGCTTGCATAAATAACTTTAAACACGTTTTAAAGTAGGTTGCCAATGAAGAAAAGTATTGTAATCTTAGACCTGGTAAGTACTCGCAATACCAAAGGTATTTTTCAAAAAATTAGCCCGGATGCCCCAGTACATTTAGTGTAAATGACGGCTATAACTATGTAACTAATTGATCAATCGATCTGTTTTTTTAAAGAAGCGTCTTTCCAAGAACTTTTAAAACATGATTTAAAAAATTTGATTTGATTGAATATTCACAAAGTTCTAATTGTTTATAAGTACAAAAATTCGACCAATGTTTAAACAAGCGCCAAAGCTCTCCTAATTGACGGAATCGGATTTTTCAAAACAAGTTTGAAAGCCTGAGAGCCCTTCTATATGTGATTAAATTTTCAAGTATCTAAGGGCCTTGGTTTTTGCTGTGCAAAATTTTGAAAATTTGCAATTTTTTTTTCAAAATCTGGATTGCAAAATTATTATGCAAAATCTATCGAACCGATTTTGATGAAATTTGCTGTGATAATTCTACATAACATGAAGTTTTTTTGAGCCAAGTATAATGGTTCTATACCCAATTTAAATACCCCAAAAAAATTCCCTAAAAAGTATTGTTTTTTAACCCCATTTTTACGATTTTTCCGATTTTTACCATAATAATCATGATTCGATTTGTAATTTAATTGCAAACATTTTTTTCCTCTTCCATTTTCGCCTAAAATCAACTCTTGAAAAGATACATAGTTAAATAGGAAGAAAAATATGACATTTTCCGCCAAAAGTTAAGCCTACGTTTTTTTTTTATGCGCAAAGAAAAATTTTCATTTCTAGTGATATTTGAAAGCCAAAAAGCCAAAAATATCCGTGGATTACGATTCACCCAAACCAAAACAGATACCGCCTAGTCTATAAATAGGATTTCAAAAAACTATAAATACTCCACTCGAATTAAAGTTTGAACGTGAAAAAATTATTAGTAGACATTTTATTACACTTTACAACGGAAAAGGAAATGTAGAATGATAATATCAAAAAAGTAACTCGAGAGAAGTGACGTTAAGTTGGTAAATTGCAAATAATCGGCAATACCTGAAAGTTTACGAGCTTGAAATAATGAATACCGTACCTGAATATGTTCTTTTTATCCACTTCATCAACTTCCAGATTATAGGCAGGTTGACTCGTTCCTCCCAAAATAACGCAATGTATGTTCGGTATAACGTAGCAGCTCCTGTCATGTTCACTGTCTATTAAAAATAAATAGAACATCCACGAAGCTGACACTCTGGCTATTTGGCCTCTAAGTGGACACAATTTAGTGTCACCTAAAAATAAGGTCCCTAAATAATAAAGAATCAGCTATTGCAGTTCAACGAAGTAAAATTTAAATACGAGTGAGATCTCTTATTTTTATTTCTTTGTAAAGGTATTAAACGAATTGAAACAAATTTAATAATAAATATAAAAGAAACCTGTAAGATCCTTGGCATCCAACCCAGTACAATTCACGATTACATCAAAATCTTCTAGCTCTTTGAAATCCCTTATTTCCTTCCTTACTATTACACCACCATTCATGAGAAATTTCTGTTCCAAAAACGGCAGGAAAATCGAAGCCTCCCAGGTGAAACTGAGGAACTCAAATCCACTAATAAATTTCCTATTTCCCACCTTACCAAACTTATCTAAGTATTCTCTGGATAGATTTGAATATCCCAAGACCACATCCTTCCAAAAAGGATTTTCGACGTCTTTTCTGTCAGAAATAATGCGACTGATTATAAGCGATATACCAGCTTCTTTAGCTTTGCCTTAAAACAAATTGTTAGAGGATTTTAATATTTAATCTAAAATAAAATCACCTTCTTTCCATAACTTTAAAATGTAATCGTAAGTAGCTTTACCCCACCTGGTTATTTGCGCTGGTGGTGTGTCACCTACCATGTACGGTTCCCAATACCCAGCAGCTATGTCACCAGTGGTATTAGGACTTTTATCCCTAGTAAAAATCGTCACTTTCACATTTTTTAATCTCTCCTGTATGGATAAGGCACTTGTTAAACCTATAACCCCGCAGCCGATCACTGCTATTTCATACATGTTACTTTAAGACATATTTTAAATATTTGTAATAGTGTACGCCTGATTTTTATATATGTATATCTAACCCCTGGGTTATCTCAGTTATTCTTACGAATAGAAATTGTTTATAGTATGCTTAACATTCGTATCAATTAGGCTTATGTATTGCAATATCAATGACAACTAAAATTAAGACTAATCAACAGAATTTCTTCAATACTAAAGAGATAAATATATTTTATCACGTAGTTACATATTAAAATAACATTTCGTACCTTTAGTACAAGACTAATATTACTCGAAAACAAATGAACTGTGGTAATTGAGGTTAAACTTCTGTTGGGCTAAAGGAATCTAAAAATATGATCAGAATCTCTGGCTACAGTCTGAATCTAAAATATATATCCTCTGATTAGTCAAGTGTTTAACAATTTAAATTTAATGTAAATATCGACTAATAAAAATTTAATATAATAAAATACAAAGCAAATGTTTTGGTCCAATAAAATATTTATGCATTTAGATTGTAAGAGTACTAATGTCTATAATTGCAAATGTAACAGATTTCTTTTTGTATGCTATACTTATTCCAGGGGCATGCAGGGATTTTACATTTGGTCTTTTATAAAATGAATAAAAACACAATTATTGCTATAATCATGTAGAGTTTCAAAACTATTAATACTGGGCTAATAGTATTTGCATGAGCATGGTCTCATACATACCAAACATAGAAATACAAATCCCAGCAATTGAAAGCTTTATTTAAGAAAATTTTCATTATTTAGGAATGATATTTGTTAAATAATAATACAGAAGTATTAACAAAAGTTTAAAATTCGTAGATAACACTTTCAAAATTAAAAATAATCAAAATATGTTACCTTAATTTTTTATTTTTTAACAATATTCAGCATTCAGTAAGAAATCCTTCCATTTTCAGAGGTTCAGCATTAGACTCCGCACAGTCTTCAGTAACTCAACCTGTACCTGTCCCAGATAAGAACAGAGTCGTCGAGTTCACAAACACCTCCGCTACAAGGGGCTCCAGTTTACAGTTCTTAGACATTCCCCCGGGGGACGATTTTCGCATCCATGATCTCAGTCTAAATGAAGAGTACTTGCTATTCGAAGCCTTTTCACAGCTAATGGGATATTTACAACCGACCGGATTTCCTTCAGGTACGTCCCAGTAATAAAACGCTACGTACACGGGTTGCTTCGATTCAGACGCTTTTCACTCCGTGCACGGTTAAATTGATCGAGAATATTAAACTACAGTGAATTTGCGCTGTAGCGGAGAGCAAATATACTCATTTAAAGAGACTTATAAATAACTGTGGTGAGTTTTACGGGCGTTTAGGCAGGCTCTGGTTGTCTAGTTTTACTTGTTTTTGTTCGACCAATGAAAATATAGAACTGAGATTCGACCGATTTATTAGAAACTCAAGCAAATCCAATTAAATGCATATACAACAATATACAATGTATACAATGTTTGTATTCGGTAATTTTATAAACTTTAGTATTTATTATACGATGAGAAATGAAAATTGTAAATGTATTATAAGGGTTTACCACGGCGTATGACAATTGAAAGGACAAGCTACGCTCCAAAATGTGCTATTTAGCCATTTAAATGAAGCTCTTGAAAACTCTAAGAACTATACATCTTCTTTGCACTGGCCCCGTTAATATTTAACTTGAAGGAAATTTATAAATGACCATTACAAAGTATATTATGTAATTTAGATGTCATTCCGTATGATAAATGGTAAGAACTACGTTAGTTTTCTAAAACAGCTATTATTCTTTTAGTACAACGTTACGCTTCAGCTAATGTTTCAGAATATATTACAATTCTGTCCTATATTGTACAGATTTTTTGCACTGTTCGATAAACTCTGGCATTCCATTTTTAAATATGTAATAAACAGTTGTAGTATTTACAAGTTTTTTAAGTACACTCATACTATTAGAATATTCACTGAACATTAATATGCTGTAGACAAAATGAATAATGGTAAAAATAGCAGCAGTATCATTATAGTCCAGGGAACGAAGAGAAAAATAAGGTAGAACCTCCGAATACTTTCGAATAGATCCGATTTTTATAAAAGTTTGGAATTAAGCTCATTTCATCCTGTAGATAAAAAGTTATGTGTGCTTGATTTGCGCTTCTTATTTTTAGGGGATGAAAACCACCCTTTATGCTAAAAAACTTAATAAATATAAAAATAGGTGTTATATAGACTAAAATCTTTCCCTAATATATAGAATAAATAGTGTTTTATATTGTGGGTTATAATTTATGTTATTTTTATAAAGTTTCAACCCTTAAAAACCACCCTTAATGATAGAAATATAAAATTAATAGTTTCTTCGACCTTAAAATATTTTTATAGCCATATATTATTGATAGAAATCTTTTCAATAGTTCATGACATTATAAACAATTCATTACAATATTCCAACCCTTAAAAAACTACCCCTAATAACAAAATACAAAAAGAAATAGTTTTAACAGTTTGAAATGATTTGGTAGTACAAACAGGATAAATTAAATTCTTTTACCTGTTTATAATGCAATTTATAATTTATCGCATTATTTTAACCCTTAAAACCACCCCCAATGACAAAATATAAAAAATGGCTTTTAAATTATTTAAAATGAAATATAATGCCCCCTATAGTGTTTGCCAGATCACTGGGTGTCTCAAAAATCACTCTTCATTATACAAATAAAAACAATTTTATATATTTAAAGTTGATAAGCAGAATTATTAAAAGATTAAAAGGAAAAAGTGAAGGTATTCTATGTATATAGAATGCTCCAAAGTTGTGGATAACCAAAATATTGATATGCTTCGAAAATTGAAGCGGTAAGGTATCCTTGGTTTTTAACGTTAACGTTAAAACGATTTTACGGAAAATTTCGACAGCTAAACGTACTGTAATATTTTTTAACGCCTTATTTTTGAGATTTTTATGATTAAAGGGTTTGAAGAACATGACCTTCGTCCTCAACTGCAAACTTCTAGAAGCGACATCTATGTTAATTTTTGTCCTACACAAATAAAAAAAAAATATTCTGTAAAAAAAAATTAAACTTTTATACTTTTGAATATTTTTCGTATCTTTTTTATATTTAAAGTTATTTTCAAAAATATGTTATTTTTTGGAATTAAAAAAATTGTTTTCAATCAAACGTAATTTTAAAAATATGCGTTCTCAACCGCTTAAACTTGTATAACATATTGTTAGCACATAAAAAGTTTAAATTGTAGAAGGATTACCTTTAATGTTAAAACTGGTGAAAAATTCATCAACATTTATTTGTATAGATTTTTGTCCGAAAAAGCGAATTAACAGTTTTATTTTGATCATAACTCTGTTAATTTTTATACTAATGACTTGAAATCAAGTTCATTTTAAAGATTTTTAAAAGTACTTTACAAAATATCCTGTGCTTTCTTGAAAAATATAATTTTTTTAGTTATTTTACGTTAAACGCTTCCAATTTAGTTTTTGGCGGACATGAAATTATCTTCAACCAGCCGTATCTTAGCATCTATTTCACCTATATAGACGAAAAAAATCTCAATCTTTTTCCTTTTCTATAAGTTTCATTTTCTTCGTGATGTTTTTTTTTTCATAGTATGTCTACTTTCCGAGTTATTCGAGAAAAACCACTGAACTTTTTTTTAATAAAAAATGTACATTTTCAATCACTAATAAAAATGTTCATAAAATACTTTTTGCTTAAAATTGATCGCCTTATCGATTCCTGGGATTATTTTCAATATTTATTTTATTTTTCATCCCCTAGAAGGGGTGGCTTCCTCCGCAAGAGCGCTCATCGGCACTATATAACTTTTGTTACTTGAACTATTTTCTACTTATAGTCCACGTTTCCCTGGACTATTAAGGGTATGTCGAAATGATTTTAATGAATTTAATTTAAGAATGTATAATTATATTCAGTCGCTTTTTAGTATAATGTTACGGATATTTTGATTAAATACCTGAACATCCTCCTTTAAATATATTTGTGTTTTTTATTGAAATAACTCCAAGTAAATTAAAAATCTTAAACCGAAATACTTTAAACGAAATACTTTTTTACGCACAATCGTTATTATTCCTATGTGATATATCCCTTGTCTGTTGTGGTCCTGTGCAAATATTTACAGTTCACTTTCCTTCTTGACCCTTATTATCATACGCTGCAGCCTTGAAAGTTCCACATAGCTTCCAGCTTTTCCTACTTGGACGGTAAAAACCGAGCACCTGCTAGACCTCGCCTGTCATCCTCCTAGTCAAATTTGTATAGGTTTATCACACGCCGAGTTGAGTTTACAGTTCCCTTTCAACAAATCGCTGTTAGTTTGGTGGGGAGTTTTAAAGAGCTTTTTACCCTCACTCTCGAAGGGTCTCCACTATCCCTCCAATTTATTTTTCATCTAATTTAACTGTGCGAAATGTAATTGTTGTTTATTTTGTTGGTTGGTTGTTTGTTTGTAAATTTGATTAAAACTACAACACGATGCTCAAGGACAAACTTTTGGATATACGATATTTATTCTTAATTTCTCTTAAGCGACAAACTAAACTTAACAAAATTTTAAGAATTCCACGACGCGTGCTGTAATTTAAAGTACCGTGGTGTTGTTCTTGGGCTAGACTCTGTGGGGGTGAAACCACTAGCAGAATCCCTAAGCCTGCTCTGACATCGATTTCGGTTCTTGTTGTTGGATCTACGGTTTTAAGCATTGGAACAAGGATCGAAATCAATATAATGGCAGTTCTACTGGGAGTTCTGATAGTAAATGTTTATAATTTTTTGTCTTTAGCCCTTATAGACACTACAGGTTTTTTTACATGGACCAAGCAGGCGTAAGGAAATTTAAAACATTGCGATGATTAATTTTTCTTGATTTTTCCAGATTTATATTTTAATTTTTTTGCAATACCTTGTTTAAATTATCAGTATTGATTTCTTATGCTTGTTTTTTTAACTAACTAACTAAAAATAACATAATCTAATATTATTTATATGGACAAAAAGCCATGTTATTAATAATGTGGGCATAAACATAAGCTTCACATTTTTCTAACATTTTAACGTTTCACCAATTATGCAAACTACATAAATCTTAGCGAATATCACATTGCAAGATTCAGTTCTGCCACAGACTGGAAACTAGGTCAATTTTACTATTTTTCCAAGAGCATCACTCTGAGATTTTGCTGGTTTAACACTATTATGTACTTCCTCCTTCTCTTTATTGAAAAAGTTCTGTCTCATTATTTTACAGCTCATCTAGGATTGTAATCCAACTGCTTTGCTCTCATTCGTAAATGTCAATCACTCTGATAATGGCATATTATAAAACAACCATATTTGATCAGATGAAATATTATTTTCATAACTTTAATAAAGTGAAATACACTAGTCACAAAAATTAAATATTAAAAAGATCCTAGATTTTCGAAAGTCTTCATTGATTTTGGACGTCCTGGAACCAATAGGCGTTTGCTCCTGTATCAATACTCCCTTGTGTATTGAATACCCGTAAGAGCAGTTTTCACAAACGTAAACGTTAATTTCGGTGCCCAATTCAAAGTCGATGTAATTTAGTTTTGCATAGAAATTACCTCATTTGTCCCACATCCATGCATGGCGGGTGTTTTGAACATCGCGCCGGTAAATCAACATATTCACGGGTGTTTTGTTTTGTTGCAGGTCTGTTGCGGGATATGCTGTACAACCGTATCCCGACGCAGCTCCTCGTCTTCCAGGTAAGTGCACAAAATGAGCATCAGGATGTAACGGTGATAGTCCTGGGTACGCAAATGTTTGTGCAGCAGCAAATTACACATGAATCGCAATAGTTCAGGGATGAACCTTTCAAATTTGCTACATGTATTTTCTCTGTACAGGGTGTCCCTGAAAAGGATGGACAACGCTTGATCACAGGTTCCTTGGATGAAAACAAGAGTATTTAGCCTAACATACCTATATACAAAAGTGCACGCCTACTGAGATATATAGCCTTCTAAATATAGAACAGATAACCTAGTTTTTTTCAAATCATTTGAAAATTGTTTTTCTTAGAAACTTCAAATTTGCTACACTTGTTTTTTTATATAAAGGCAATGTAAATATAGAATTTGGTGAGAATACATATACAGGATGTTCTCTTTCTAGTGCCTGTACGCCACTGGCTATACCGTAACTTTTTTGTATGTACGCCAATGACGACAGAATTTTAAAAATAAGCACTATTTTAGAAGATTTTTTGCCTCTTACAAAATTTTGATATCGTTTATGGATATCGAGTAAAATTGGCATTTTTTACACATTAAATAATATAAAATCAGTTTAAGATAAATAGAACATTCTAGTACGAGGCGCCATATAACAGAGAAACAAATTCATAACAATAATTAAAAGGTTTTGCGTCAAGCTAGCTGTGATTTAATTTTAGCTTACTTTGTTTTTTATTGCAATTTATACTTTTGCTGAACAAACTGATATGTTAGTAGTTTTGGGTTATTGTGAAGGAAATTGTTGTGCTACTGTTTGAACATATGCTGAAAGTTTTCCTAATCGAAGAACTCCAAATCATAAAGCATTTGCTAATGCGGAGAGACGCCTTCGGGAACCAGGACGTTTTTTACCTGTAATATTAAATCGTGGATAATGTACGGCCGGAATTATTCAGCTGGAGGAACAAATTGTGGAAAGGGTCGAAGAAATTCCTTAAGTAAATAAAAGGCGTTTAGCGGCAGAGGTTGGCTTTCAAAAAGTTCCTTTAATAGAGTGCTAAAAGACCAGTTATTACAGGTTACAGGTATTACAGGGTACAGGTAGGTATTACAGGTTATTAAAGGTCTAACAGGTGGATAGGTAGAGGAAATAATGCCCCTTTAAAATGGCCACCTCGATCCCCGGACCTAAACCCATGTAATTATTTCATTTGGGGAGCGTTGAGGACCACAGTTTAAAATAACTTTTCAGTAAATACAGAAAACGAATATGGGAAAGAATACAACATGAAATTAATGTTATGAGAGGTAATGAACAATTATTGGATAATTTCTAATTTTCGAAGAACTAATGTTTGCGTTTAAGAACAAGAAAGTAACTTTGAGCATTTACTGTAATATTATTTTAATGTGATTACAAATATCAGTTTATTTAAAATGTTAATGTTGACTTTCTTACATTATTAGTTGAAATGGTTTATTTAAAATATTAGTGTTGATTTTTATTTTATTTATTGATAATACTAATACCAAAAATGTGTAGTTATTTTTTTAATGTGAATTTTTTTTATTATTATTCCCTGCTTTGAGGCTGCAGTTATAAATTATTTTTTATAACTCGGAATTTTTGCCTATATTTAATGTAGGTATAAATAATGCGAATTTTACTCGCAATCCATAAACGATATCGAAATTTTGTAAGAACACACACACAAAAGTTACAGGAAAACCAGTGGCGCACAGGCACTAGAAATAGAACATCTTGTATATGTATTCTCTCCAAATTCTATATTTACCTTGCCCTTATATAAAGAAATAAGTGTACCAAATTTGAAATTTCTAAGAAAAATAGTTTTCAAATTATTTTAAAAAATTGATTATCTATTCTATATTTAGAAGGCTATATCTCAGTAGGCGTGCACTTTTGTATATAGGTAAGTTAGGCTAAATAGTCTTATTTTCATCCAAGGAACCTGTGGTCAAGCGTTGTCCATCCTTTTCAGGGACACCCTGTATATGTTTGTTTAGAGAATATGACAAAAACTAAAGGGAAGTTTATGCGTATATAGAAATGTTCACACGAGCAAAAAAAATTCAATGAATAAAAACATAGATACGGCCTCGGGTTGTGGCAATGTCGGTTACTTGCCCAACTAAATTAATAACCGCTTTGTTACTCTTTAGCCTTTAGCCGATCTTAGTTTTACCACATTTAGGTCATGATATGATGATTTTACCCATTAAATATGTATTTAAAAATGTAACATATTATTATATTTTATTATTTATTGTGTTGTTTTGTTTTGTTAGTAATGTAATGTAAGTAATGGTGTTGTGTGTTGTTGTATTATGTGATGGTGTGTAAATTTTGTGTGTTTATAATTATTAAATATCCGTTTGGGCGCCTTTTATAATGTAAAATGTCATTTGGGTGTGTTTATATCTAATTTTCCATTGAGCATAGGTTCTGATAAGAAAATTTTATAATAACACTGACAAATATAGACGAATTAGACTTTCTTACCTTATTATTGCTAACATCGCCTCCGGCAGCTTTACTTTGTATAAATAATGTTCACAGTGTAGATAGGATTTTAACATATTAGTGTAGATAGGAATGTTCATTTTCTACACTGTCCCTCAAGAAAAAACATTTTATTTTATCAATAGCATGAGTCCTTACCTCATAGCGGCGGTTCTATGCTCTTTTAATTAACCTTTACTGTTTAATTTTTGGTAGGAAGCATTGAATAAAAGCAAAATTTGAAAGATTTACACAAGATGACATTTATTACTTATTTTTCTTTCAATTTCAAACAATCCTTTTGATGAACACAGAAACTAAAATTTTCTTTATATATTTTTACATGAATAATTGTCTGAGAAATGCCTTATTCTACCTATTATAGTTTAGAAAATGTTTGGTTAACCAATTATCATTATTTTTAAACGTTTTTCAAAACAAATTAACTTATATCACGAACATTGGAAACTAAATTAATACTTAAATTATAGAATGTTCAAAAATGTCAATTTAAATTTTAATCACTGAAATTGTTTATAGTCGAAACGGGTTTTCTGTTTCACAAATAGTTTTTATAGTTCAAATTTGCAACACTGGAGAAAACAGTTGTGCAACTGGATTTACTTTATTTCGTTCTGCCTGGCAATTTGCGTACGTTTCTATAACCTCACTTTATTGTTGTGGTTTGTCTGCTATTCTCGTGTGTTGAAGATGGCTGTTGGGTCTGTGTATAGTGCTTCCTGGTGTTTTAGATGTTGTTTTGGGGAGCCACAGGACAACATGCACCCCTCACCAGTCTCTCGAATCTCCTGCTTTCTTCACCTCTGCAGCTTGTTGACTCTCACGATGTTTTTTTGTTTTTCCGGTACCAGGTAAATTCACTGATTTGGCCTATTGCCATTGGTTGCTCGTATCCATGTTATCATTTTCTAACTGCGCAATTTCTCTAGCGTATTGCGATGAATTTGATTTTAATTACCTTACGGCGTAATTTACATTTTATAACTGCGTAGTAGATTTTATACGTCTTAATACTAATTTACAAGAAATTTTTTTATATGATATTTTGCATGACAATTTTTTTTATAAGAAACTTCTAGCCTATCTGTTTCTGATGTTATAATATTTGAACTTTCTTTTGTACTAGATTATTTAACATTAATTTACTCATAAAATCTCTAAATTGGCCCTTCTATATTAGGATAAAATATAGGGAATCTGTTACATATTCCATATATAACCAATTATTTATTCACATAAGAGTTGCCCCTGGCAACTTTATTGTGGGTCCAGTGACGCGCCAGCATTTCTTCACGCTTCATTGTATCATCCGAATCGCGATTCGAATGAAGCGATTTTCTAGGTATTATTAAGTTTCCGCAATGACGGCCGACATTCAGAGGGATCAAACATTGTATGGTTTACAAGGGCCGCCATTTACAAAGAGAAAATCGGGCTGTCAGATACGAATGACTGCCATTCATAAGTACACCTGTTTAACGTTTAATAATGTGGAGTCCAAATGGGATAATTAACAACACAATGTCGGTAGCAAAGCCAGAGGTTTACAGTGACAGCGTAGGATTTTTGTACAGGCTTAGAGAGAGACAGAAAACGTAACTGGAGATCTCCCTTCGTGTCGCTGAATTAAATACGACCAAACATTCCAAAAATTATGAATTTTAGATGCTCAATTATTTTTTTAAAGACATTGACTCCATTTCTCATACCGCATCTATTCACAAATTGTTTTGCATAAGTTGTGAATAGCCCTGTACAATTACAAATACATATGAATACATTCAACACACAAAATTGTTAAATAAAACGTGCATGATCGTTTCGTAGTTAAAAAGAATACAAGAAAGGTAGGTCTTTAAGGCGGTATAAATATTCAAGATGCGTAAATACTCAAACTTTTCTAATCATTTGCACTGTTTTTTCCTCCTTAATTTTTGTTTCAACACTTGGAATTAGATCTCTTACGACCGTCATTAACAAGTCCATCAAGTGGCTCTGAAACTTCTAACATTTCATTTTAATTTCAAATTAACTTCCGAGCCTTACACTTTGTTGTGAAATGAAGGATCGTTATTTTTAAGGTAAAGTTGAGCCGTCGCGTCGAGCAAAGGTTAAGAGTCTTCTTTATATAATCGATTTAAACCAACTTTACTAAGAAATTTTTTACACAGAATTAGTCGCGATATAAATTATTTGTTTCTCAGAAAATTAGTCGTTATAAAAATCACTTAAACGTTTAGGATTTTCGTTTTTTTTTTTTAATTTTGTGACTGGTTTAGTTCGAATTAACGTTCGAAACTTTATAAGGCGTACACTTCTGCTGCAGCTTTCAGCAGTTTTGGAACAAGCTGGAATATTACAATCTCATTTCATACAACCCAGATATGTTTCTAGAAACTAAAACTCGGCATTTGTGTTTCAGGTGCTGAAGCTGGAAATTGTTCTTATAATGTGGATTGTGCTATGGGCAATGTTATCTCTGTGTCTTCCATCCGCAGTGGCTGCCAACTTCTGTTGCTCGAATAATATCAGACGACTAGAGGAAGATTTCTCAAGTGGGTCGACGAACTCAAGAGACAGATGGATGGGAAGGACATTGGGATTTCTCTTGCATTTGCTGCTCTTATTGCTACTGTAAGAAATATATTACACTGTTTTTTTAGGAGAATTGGCTGAATTTTCATTATACAGGGTGTTCGGAAATGATCAGCAAAAAATTCAGGGGATAATTCTAAACCGAAAATAAATGCTAGGTACCTCTTTCTATAACATTTTTTCCAAAACTGATTATTAACGGAGTTACGGGGTGTTAAAGTTAAATTTTATTTGCAGTTTTTTTCCAATACGTTTTGCCACACTCATAATATTTTGACGAAATTTGCCACCGTTTTTTCGCATTTTGTAGAGAGCGCCACATACGAGCCTTTATTTTGATTTGAATGGTTCCAACTTTTTTGTGCTACACTTTATTCAAAATTTGACTGAATATTTTTGTTCTCCTAACCTTTTGACATAAAAAAGGTATACTTTATTTGTTTCGATAAATCTTACCGTTTTCGAGAAAAATGCTAAAATAACATTGCTTGCATGTGATGAATACGAAATCATTTTAATTTATTTTCTACATCAAACATAGCATGCTTTAGAAACAAACGCTTAGTTGCCTTGGAAACAAGTTTGTGGAGAATTAGTTTTGACAGATAGTAATTTTTGTGAAAATTTGTTGTTACGCTGATGATGGTTAATGATAAATAATAAAAAAATAACGTCCTCAACAAATAAAGAATGGTTTACTAACAAAATCATAACGTTAAAATACATAAGTTACTGGAACAATACAAATACAAATTAAACATTCAAATCAAACGTTCAAAGTATCGTCCTTCGTCTTCAATGCATAAATTAATTCTTCTTAAAAAAATCCGACGAACTCTATGGAATATTTCTTCCTTTTCCTTAATTACCTCACAATTAGCAACAATTCTTTCTCTCGGTTCATCGACGCTATTCACAGGTGTCCTGTATACAAGCGTCTTCAGATAGCCCCAAAAAAAGAAATCGATTCGGTTTAAGTCAGGGGATCTAGGGGCCCACTGTACAAATCCACCGCGTCCTATCCACCTTTCAGGAAAAGTTTCATTTAAGAATTCTCTGGTCGCTAAACTAAAATACGGTGGCGCACCATCTTGAAGCAGCCACATTGCATTTCTTAACCCGAGTGGTACATCTTCCAATAGAATAGGTAAGTGGTTTCTTAAAAAATCCAAGTAAACTTCACCATTGAGTCTTTGTTCAAAGAAATGTGGCCCTATTAGTAGTCCCCTACAATACCGGCCCATACGTTGACAGAAAACTTGTTTTGATAATCACGCTCTATTGATAAATTAGGATTCTCATCAGACCAAAAATGCTCATTGTGGAGGTTTATTAAGCCATCATGGCCAAATCCAGCTTCGTCCGTGAAAAGGATATTACGAACAAAATTTTGGTCACCATTGTGAAGTATTCTAATTGTATTGCAGAAATTCACACGAGCAGCAGGATCTACGGCAGATAAGGCTGGCACCTTTTGGTAGTGGTTCGGATGAAGGTTTTGTTCGCGTATTGTTTCATGTACGGAGCTTTTTGGAATGCCCTCCTGAATAACAATTTTTCTTATACTTACATTGGGATTATTCTCTATCGAATTCAAAATACGAGCTTCTGCTGTTCTAGTATTCCGTTGTCGACCTACATAAAAAATTCTAGTTTTGAACGATCCAAATTCTCCCAGTCTTCGATGAATAGTACTGAACATTCGCAATTGGGGTAGATTTCTATTTGGAAATGCTTCGCGATACAAACGTCGTGCTGCAAGAGCATTTCCAGCAGCTAAACCGTAATAATAGTCCCGCAACTCCACGTTAGAGTAATTGTTTTTCATTTTTATGATAACAATTACTACAAAATAACTTGTACAAAACTACTATCTGTCAAAACTAAACTTGTTTCCAAGGCAACTAAGCGCTTGTTTCCAAAGCATGCTATGTTTAATGTAGAAAATAAATTAAAATGATTTCGTATTCAACACATGCAAGCAATGTTATTTTAGCGTTTTTCTCGAAAACGGTTAGATTTATCGAAACAAATAAAGTATATCCTTTTTATGTCAAAAGGTTAGGAGAACAAAAATATTCAGTCAAAAGTCGCATAAAGTGTAGTACAAAAAAGTTGGAACCATTCAAATCAAAAAAACGGTGAGCAAATTTATAATCCTCATCCCGAAAAACTACCATGTACGAAATTTCGTCAAAATATTATGAGTGTGGCAAAAGGTATTGGAAAAAAACTGTAAATAAAATTTAACTTTAACACCTTGTAACTCCGTTAATAATCAGTTTTGGAAAAAATGTTGTAGAAAGAGGTAGGATTTATTTCCGGTCTAGAATTATCCCCTGAATTTTTTGCTCATCATTTCCGGACACTCTGTATAAATAGTTCATTACAAACATAATGTGAATTTCTATCGTCATTTTCAGCATGAACCTAATTTGCAATTGCATGTGAGCTGATGTTTACACATCACCAGAATTTTAAAGTTTCAGTTTCTCCAAATCTTCTAACTTATATTTCTCGTCCATTGTTCCAGTTGTCCTATTATTCTCATCCTAGCCGGCAATGAGCAGATATCCAGGTCGATATCGAGGGGGCCGTCGTCCGTCAGTTTAATTTACGAGGATGTCAACACGTTTATAAGGAATACCCATATGCAGATGTCCTTTGTGGTGACGTCGTCCTTGGATATCACTATCGAGGCGATCCGGAAGGATCTGGAGGGTAAGGACAAGAGGGGTCTCGAAAATCGATGTCTATGTCACACATTGAGAGAAATATCCAACGAATTTAAAAATATTTCAATATGTTAGATTTATTAATGGTTATATCGTGTATTGGGGCTATAATCTCTCAATGTCTGCTAAGAATGTGCCGTCTTTTTATTTTAAATAATGAAGGATAAGCCAGGAGAATCAAATCCTGTTACACATACACCATATTTATTTGGTTTAAAGGAGCTAACGTGTTCAAGAATGATTCTCGCTTACTCGAGTCCTCATCTAGATTTTATAAGGCACTTAAACTTTATTGCTTTTTAAGTGATTCCGATCTTAAACGCCCTCGAATAGAAATAGAAGGCACAGCCGTGTCTGGAAAAATCCTTTTCGAAATAAGGATTGCTTAGAATGAATTACTGGATCGGACGTTTAAAAAGGCTATTATTTATTATCATAGCTTTGCTGAGGTATACTTATAAACTACTAGTTATACTTTTCACAATGTTAAAATATTTTTTGTTTTAACAAGTCAAAAAGCTACATTATTGTCTTTAGAATAACAAAATTTCTAGTAAAGTTAAAAATGAGGATCAACTTAGTTATTTTAAACGAAATACTGTATTTTGCATATCCATGTTATAATTCCAAAGGTCTAGAGTCACACGCGATATACAAGATGTTGGATTTACAGATATATCGCATTTATTTATTCAAATACCACTGAAAAGGTTTAAATCATACGGATAAAGACTAATAACTGAACTAATTAAAGACAAAAATTAAATAAATTAGTTTAAAAATATGAATCAGTGACAGATATACTACCATTTTTTTGAAAAACTAACCATTCTTGATTGTTCCCTCTGTTTATTCTTCGTATTCGACTATTAAAAAAATAATTAGTTAAGGAAACCCTTTGACGAAAGAATTAGTCAAAGGTTGTTTTTATGAAAGTATTGTCTTCGACAAATAAAAATATTCTCACATTGGGAAAGCGCACATTTGATTTACTAACACTTAAAAAACATGGAGATTGGTGTGCTTCTGCAGTTGCACGATATATCGATAACTGCTTATCAAATAAGATTCACATTTCTCAAAAAATCGTGACAAACCCAAAATAAGTCTAGTAGGTACTAGAGAAAATAACACAATTGAAGTATTAAACCAAATAAATGAATATTTTCAAAAAAGGACACAAATTTTTGCGTAAACGATTTTCGATGGTTCCTATATATTTATTTTGTGAAACAGAAAGTTTTAAACTTATCCAACTTTTCTGAATTAAAAAAATAATAATAATAACTCGAAAATTGCTGAAGTACCTAAAGTAAAAAAAAAATTCTTAGAAATACGATTAGGATGTTTCAACAATTAATTGTAATACATCTTTTTAAATTTTAAAACCGTGTATCTATAAAACCAGTTGTTTCAGATATTAGTTCCTTAAGACTTTAAGTCTAAATAATCAAACGAATAAGCTCCTCATATTACATCATAAACTTAGAAACCAACATATAAATTTATATATTTGAATGGAAATGTATTTAATGGCATAAACTTTAAAGACCTGCTACAATCTGATTCATCTTATATTTATTTGAATGTCAGTCTCTCACTCTATTTTCAGAATAAAATATTTAATAAACTTTTTTCCTCATCGACAAGTGAATATATCACTCCGTCCTACATTACTTTCATTTCATCATCCTGTCGCCCGGATTCGCAAAATGTAGCCGTAAATAGAAATAAGTTCAAAACTTTTATGCATCTTTTCAGCCGTAGACGTGCTGCTGGGAAAGCCGTATCAACAGGAACTGTCGTCGGAGACCGGAATTGATATCGCCCTGCTCGGTCTGGACGACTTGAAAACATGTAAGTTCGCTTTTGTAATGAATACCTGTTTACTTTGTAGGAGCTAAGTAAGTCCTAATATCGTTTTAAGGTCGCAGTACAGAGATTGTCAGTTATTTGTGAATTGTCTCAAGAGAAACACTGAAATTATCGTGAATGTAGCTTTTAATACAAAATACAGTGCAGTATTTCATTATTTCTTTATTTTCACTCAACTTTCCAATCTCTTATTGCAATCCGTTGAACCACTATGAGTAACAGCATAACCGCTGACATCTAGCGGGGGTCGAATCAATTACTGTGCATATTTTACTCTCACAATCAGTGTAGATAACCAATAAGAATTATTTTTAATGTATTTAAATCTGTATCCTCGTATATTTAATGGACTCAGCAACTTCCCATTTGACATCGCTGGTGTCGGACATTCTAAGTGAATGCGCTTCAGCGCGTATCGCCGGAAGTATGTTGCAGGAGCAGTTGGTGGAGATCTCCAGACAACTAACTGTGGCCAGGCAGCAGTGCAGCACGAAGGACCGCACGCTTTGCTACACGCTGCAGCACTCTGGATTCGACGTTGCGTTCTCCGTAGACAATGTAAGTGAAAAATGAATAATCAATTCGTAAACGAAAATGCCTTTCATATTTCTTCATTATTTAGGGAACAGTACATCCTAATATCTTCAATCGGTTTATAATATAACTATAGACCAGTGTAATTTATAAAATAATAATATTCCAGCGGATTTCCCGTTTGGCAAATAAATTGCGCCATAAACTGCCATAGATCCATTAAAAGTTTGTCGGGCTGGGTAGGGTAATAGAAACCTCACATGAACTATAAATAAATTGCACCGAACTATCGAAGCTGCAAACTTATAGGACCCCAAAGGGAAACTCGAGAGCAAAACTGTTGTGTGGAAGAAATGATAGCGTTTTTAATATCCGCGGTAATATAATCTGAATCGATATTCAATATATAAAAGCAGCGTTTAAAGAAATAATCGAAGGTCAAGCGTTTTTCAAAAATGTAATTCATAACATCAAAAATCAAAATTAAAACTACTTTTACAGACTAGCATTATACATAGTTAATTGAAAGAGTATATTAATCTTTGATAAACTTCTTATTGTTCGCATTTCGGAAGTTCAGTGAAAATTACTTAATACTAAAATACACAGGGTGTCTCGCTTAAACGTGATACAAGCCTGTAGCTTCTTTATTTTTTAGCGATTTAAAAAAATTTTTTTTAGAATGTAGGATAAAACTAAAAAAATAGAATTTTCTATATTTTCTTAAAATGATGGGCGATGGAGCAAGTCTAACCCTGGACTCTTTGGTCTAGTCTTTGAAACAGACTACTTTTATTTTTTTTGTGGGTCTGTGTAATCCTTTTCATTCTAAAATTCGGAAATATTAGCGATTTTAAGCTATTTTTTTTTCAGGTTAGAAAATTCTGGTGATTTGCTGAGGCAACTCTGACATCGCATTCGGATTTATCGAGTCAAAATACACGGAAATGCATAGGTCAGACCACAATTTTCAGTCTCTGTTAAATTATAACCAGGATCGTAGAAGTTAATTTATTAATTTTGTGGAATGTTGAGCTTTGTTTAAGGTTAGGAAGAATTTGTGAGCTTTTGAGCCAAACCTGACTTTCGAATTCGTATTCAGCGTGTCAAGATACATGGGAATATGAAGATCCGACCAGCCGCTGATAAATAATACTTTGATTTTAAATGCTGATTATGTGTTAGAAAATGTTAGAAAATTCTGTTGATTTGCTGTAGCAATTCTGACATTGGATTCAATCAAATCTGGTGGCTCAAAATACATGGGAATAAAGTATTATTGGTCATTTGCACAAGACTTTTTTTGTGGAACTATGTAATGTATCTATCTAAATAGAAAATAGAATTGGTTTTATCCATAAAAAGAAAAACGACATATTTTTCCACCATCGAATTATCTCATGTATCATCACTATATTGAAATCAAGTAAACTTATTAAGTAATACCTACCTCGTACCAAATTTGAGTTTATTTGGTCAACCCTTTTCGAAACCGTTAAGAAAAACGTTGTTTACACTTCTTTTAACACTCTGTAGAATTCAGTTCGCGCATCCCGGTGCAAATTAATCACCCCATGCATTAAACATTCAAATCTAGTTTGCCCGCTGAATAGCTTGACTAAATCGCGGGAGTTCACGACAAATACTCGTAAATATAACGGAGGCTTCCTCGACCCCAACTAACTCCAGTCGTACCCCATGTAAGTAATAGCTTGAGATGTAATAATGGTAAGGTCTCAGTATTAAGCGCTTACATCGGAAGCTGCACTGTACAAGGTAATATTTAATCGCTGCACTATCTAGATATGTAATTAGGACCCTCCATAGATTACGGAGTTATCGCGAAGAGGCAGTTATATCTAGCTTGTATTTCATAGAAAGGAGCCCAGTAGACTGTGAATGAACCTAGAGCTGTAGTCTCTTGAATACCGTGAATTGGGATATCAGACCAGAGATAGGTTTCATCGAAGAATGTGGCTGCGAAATCGTTGTTAAAAGCAACATTTGGAATCTTCTGGTAATTAAAAATTTGTTACAATTGGCAAAATCTGTTTCATCAAAAAGAAAATTATTCAAATATGCATATATTTTTTAATCTACGAAAAAAAAAACAAAAATCGCTAATGGCGATTGTACTAATAATTACCTTGGAGACTGAATAGTCCACGGGCCCACGTACAAAGAAAAAAATGATTACCAGCAAGCTGTAACTTTGCGCTCAGCTTAAGTTTGTCGAGTCTCCCAAGTTTTGACTATGAGGAAAATTCAACAGTGGTAAGTTTTCCCGTGATTTTCAGGAAAACATGTCAATCTGGCATAGACATGGAATGTTATGACCAGCACTTTCTTTTTAAGATTAAATGAAAGATATATTTTTTTAAACCTCCCAAAAAATTTGTCCGACAAAAATTTTGGTATTTTAAGTTTATCCCCCATCCCAAATATGTCGATTTGGTGACATTATGGTTGATGACAACCAGCAAGCTGATTTTTCTGGGACGGTTTGGTAATAAGATTTGCAATGAAAGTATCTTATTGTCCGACAAAATTCTTGAGAAGTTTTTGTAGTCCGACGCTCCGAAGATGTCGACTTAACGACAACATCGTTGGTGATAACCAGCAATCTGGTTTTGATTTTTTTCTCTAATAATAGAAATGTTGTCCGCCGAAAAGATTGGATAATTTGCCTTAAAAATGGGAAAGATAACTATTTTTGTGAGACCTAATGTTCGTTCCGCTATAAAATAATTAATTTTTTAATGAAAAAATAAAGAAGAATAAAGAACAAAATTATCTTGTTAACAGAAACAACAGAAATTCATAAATAATTATGTCTATAAAAATTAATTTAATTAATTTCCATCAAAATGATTTCTTTGTTCAAAAAATTTTTAGTTTATAAAATAAAATGTACATTTTATTTTTATTTGTTTATTTATGTACATGTTCTTGAAACACCAATTAAACCAATTTTAAAAATATATTAAATCCTCATGGGAAAATAATAGAGGTAGTTCATGTAAAAAATTTTTCTTAGACGCGCCTTTTCGAGATACAGTGTGTTGAAGTTGTTACTTTCCAAATTATCTTTAAAGCGGCTAAAGATAAAAATGTCAAAAGTAGTGTCGCCGACGCAGGTAATTGGAGGGGTACAACCGAAAAATAATATGTTAAAAGTCAAAATTTGTTACATTTCTAAACGGTTCTGTAAACTCTAAAGCTTACTACAAAAATATATATACTTGTCGAAATTCGGTAGCATGTACCATTTTCGAGAAAAATGAAGTTGCATAGAAGCAAGTGGGGGACAATTTTAGCACCTACTGTAGTAGCTGCACGCAAAGTTACAGCTTGCTGGTAATCATTTATTTTTTTGTACGTGGGCCCGTGGACTAGAAGTAAAAGCGAAAGTGTCTAATATTTAAAACAATTATTTCGGTAAAAAAATCCCAGCATTCTAAAAACGTTTATAATTCTATTTGAAATACGTGCAGCTACTATTCCAGTCAGCTGAACATATCTGCGGCATTCCGAATTACATGTTTGACATTTTAATATGCACCGTTTCGAATTCATACATTAATAATGGAAACTATTTTAATAATCTGCAATATTCTGCATCAAAGTATGGCGGGATAATAATATCAAACAATATTAACCTGCAGTGCCTCGATGTGTTTCCACGAACTAAACTAGTTCCATAAAATGGCCGTTAGAGTGCAAAGGCTTAAGGTTATTAGGAGCAATATTATCGAGTTGCATCGTAAAGAGGTGCTGGTGCTTCATGTTATGTCTACGATGGAGCTCGCTAGATCCATACTATGAACTATATAAATCAGAGCAAATTTAGTAAACTGAAAACCATTTATTAATACTACAAAACTATAACGATTATCCCTTTGAATCACGATAAATGAAATAAAACTCACAAAAGAACTCAAAATTCTTGCTCGTCCATATTTCTTCATTGTTATGCTCAAATACAGATACAGGTACAATTATAAAACATTAAAGACAACTAAATATATTACTTTATAGTGCCATAATATGTCAAATTGTTTATGAAATTGTTTACTTTGTATTCTTAGTTCTGTTAGATATTGCAAAAGTACCTGTAATAATTTGAATATCACATAGTTACATTTTAAAACATGTACACAATTTTAATATCGATGTTTTTATTCTACTTTTTAGTAATTTTATAGAATACATAATTTTAATTTTATTCAAAAATATAACATCATATAGTGCCAAGGTTTTTAAAATCTAACCATGATTTTTCATATAAAAAAACAGGATGTCATCTGCGATACTTATTATTATACGTCTGACGATAATATGACGTCATATGTAGTGCAAATAATATCGGGCCTAATATACGACATTGTGGAACTCTACAACCCACTGTCTACTTTTCTAACTGTTAAACAACTTTGAAATAGTTTATAAGTTGGACGTCTAAAACCGATATTCTCCAAGGAATGCAGATTCATATGGCTTTTAGTATCAAAGGCTTTAGCCAAGTCAATAAAGATGCCTAAGCCTTCATATTAACCAGAGCATCCTCTGGTGTCCTAACTTCTCTGAAGCCATATTGCTCGTTCCGTATAATTTTTTTTTCTCAATACACTGTTATTGTTATTTTTAATAATTTTTGTATAGGGGCTGAATTACTGCAAATATGAGTGCCGAAGGGAAAAATTCCAGTTTCTACACTCTTGTTAAAAAGGTATATTAGAGGCTCCACAACATAAGTAGGTTTTTCTTTCAAGTTTTAAAGGTTATTTGGTCAACGCCTGGTGATTTTTTATTTTCAGATCAGGTGGGAGCAAGATATAATGAATCTTTTAATAAAGCTTTTTTAAATAGACTATTACTATTATCCTTTTCTTCAAAGTTTTTACAAATAGATATTTGTAAAATAATCACAAAACACGTTCACTATTTCTTATTCCTCTGTGACTGAGTATCTTTTACCCTTTTTAATACGTTTAATCATGGTTATATTTATTTTTAGTTTTATTCACACGTTGCTATATTTTAAGAGTTAACAAATCGTTTTGTAAATTTTTAGAATTCCAGTTGGCACTTTAATTCATTATTCAGAGGGTTCACCAATAATTTTTTTATATTTTTTTATTTTAGGTAAATAAACTGTCAATATAATTCAGAAGGTTTTAGGATCAAAAATTGGAATATATATCCTGTTTATTTGTATTTTATGTACTAGTCGTAAAATATATATATTAAATCCTAAAGCCGTTCTAGCGGTCATAAAATAAGAAATACATCTTCAATCATTTCTAATATATATAACACATACACAGTATAAAAAATGTAAGGAATATCTCATCTCATCGCACACTTTCTAATATGACGAAAAACAGGTTGATTCATAACTTATCCAAAAAATTTGCGAATAGATGCGTCAAGAAAAATTTTTTTACGATATATTTACGGTTCCAGAGCTTTACCAGCCGAGTAACTACAACGGTATACCTTCGAGAATTTTACGGCATTGAATTTTACACATTTTACATTTTTCAGATAACCAACGACGTGAAAATAAGACACTTGGAGCGCTTTGGCACCGAGGAAATGTTCAACGCCAGCGTTGAGGCGGCTCGTAAAGCCTTTGCAGAAGTTCCAGACCAAGTTGCTATGGAAACTTCTACACATATAACAGGTAACGTTCGAAGAACTTTGGCAAGGCATCGGGATAAACGCTGTTAAAGCTTTCTTAGTTGCATTGCACCAAGTCGAAGGTGTACAAAATTTAAAGTTATGGCGGAGGCGCTGGGAACGAAACCGGGATTAAGCAACGTAAAATAAAATAGTCAACTTGAAAGTTATCGTTATAAAAGCGCAGTATTAGAAATTAGAAGAAGAAAAAGTTACAACTAATAAAATTTACGTAAACCTACATTATGTGTCTATAAAGTTAATTTTACGAATTAAAAGAATGTATCATTTCTTTCTTAGATACTTCATAGTTTTCGCATTCGAAAGTGTAATGAAATATTTTTACGGTACAATTCTCCTGTCGTTTTGAATTTGTTACGAGCAGTGTTCCAATGTAATATTTTAGAATTTATTTTTCATATCTGGAATACAAACTAGGATCGGATCTTAGAGTCAACATAATTTTATGATAGATTGAATAAAAGTACACATATGCTTGAATGGAAGCAATTATCTGTTCGCTTTTATATTTACCTTCAGATTTCTACCGATTTAATACAACATTAAAACTTTTCAAGGCGGGTTTTGTCTGTTATCCTTCTCGCAGACCTGAAGCACGGAAGTTCGTGTATTTTAAAATAAACTGAAAAGGAAATAAGTTGAGATAGCTAACTGTGGAATTTATTTTTGTCATTGCATGGAGAAATGTGGTTTTACATAATATTTCAAATATTTCAGACAGCCCTAAAGATTCTTGTAACTCTAGTTATGCATTAAATACAGAAACAAATGCACTTTGAAGAATAGTAAATGTATTAATAGTTTTTTTAAGTCGTAACAGTAGTTTAAATTTAATTCCTACTCAGATTTACCACCTAATTGAATTACCTAGTTGCAACTGTCAAATATAATAGTTATTCATAAAGTTACTGAAGGTGTAAATTATAAAGCAACTAATTAAATTAGTTTGAAGATATCAGGGCACTTAATTTGAATAAGACTGAATTGGTACATCCGTATATTCCTTGAACTTGAACTTTTGTTTCCCTTTAACTTCTGAAAATACATATAGCATTATTAATAAAATACTAATATCAAGCAAAAGCAAAAATGGATGAATTGTTATTATTGTTATTGTACCCGTATCAACTTAATAGTGTAATAAAAGCGAATACTCGATAAAGAGATGTTTTTTTTTTAGAAATCAAAGCCCTGCTAAGCAGAAAGAGAACCGAAGTATACAAATCAACCCACGCCTTGGACGTCCTGACGACGTCCCTGTCAGAAGCAATGCGGACTAGTGAGGAGTCCGTTTCTACGGTAATCCAAAGGGCTGCGGACTTGGATTTGTGGAGATGGCTCAGTGTATTAGGTCTGTATAATGTCCTTGAATTTTTGTACAAAAGCGAAACTTCAGGGTATATACTTTATTATTAATGGTATGCGCATATATTTTATTTGTACAACCCAAGCTATAGGAATTCCACTGTTTACTGATAATAAAAAATAGTTAAATTGTTATATTCACAGTAATAAATAACGTTTTCTAGTGTCACGTAACAAGATTCTAAAAAAGTATTAAATATTGAGGAAAAAAAATTGTATTGTTATTAGTTTTATTTTGATTTTCTCAGGATAATTTTGTTCTATCTTTGTACTTTATTTATATTCATTCTGTTTTAAGGTAATTTAAATAAATGATGATGTACCCTTCAAAGAACGATATCGTTTTTGCATATATAAAGTTAGCAGATATCTGTTACAAACTAATTATTTTAAAAAATGTACGTACAAATTTCTGTCCTTTGTAATGCATCATGGAGAAGGTAAATTTTATTAAACGAATGTGGATATTGCGCTGGAGGTAAAATATAAAACTTTTCGCTCTGTGTAAGCACTATACAACTCCGATATTACTTTAGTTCTAGTTTATATAAGCAGATGTTGACTTCTACGTAAGGATTTTACTGTAAAACATAAAACTGTAAAATCTTGAAAACATCAGGGCGCAATTTGTTACAAGATTGAGTAAAATGTATGAAGTAATTCGGATGTAAGAGATTTCCAAAATACATACATATTAAAATAACAAATTCGTTCTGTAAAACATAAACATAAAGTTACTACGTTTAGTAACTTTTGTAATGGAAACTAAATATTAACATAACAATAACATTTCCATCATACATATTCAAGATTTTGAAACAAGCAAGCAATTTAAATTTTCATTATCGAAACAAATATACTTGAACTTCCACTTTATTCACGTCTGAAATTATTATTTTACAGTAAAAGTTACATTCAATAAAGAAGTAAAGTTCCAACGTGGTCCATAAATCAATAGATGTGATGTGACATAAAATAACTTAAACAAATTGGCTTTAGGTATATTAGTAAAGTATACTTTTTAAGCAGAAAAGTTGGGAGAAAAGATTTATCCAGTCCAAAGTGCACAGTGGCACAAAAAAGTTTTGGTCTTTTAAATGCGTCCTAATGGTTGCTTGTAGCACCCTCTTCTAGAGGATACAACGAAATCGTCGATAAAATTGAATTTCTCATCCAAGAAAAACCCCAGATATGAAATTTTACGAAATTAACTCGAAATAGTCGAAAGGTATTAAAGAAAATGTTATTTATTTTTTCAAATGCAACACCCTGTATGTTAACCGTTTATGAGCAATATGAGCTATATGACTTTTCCCCATTAATTTTCGTCGTAGAATCTAGTGGTAAAGTTTGGGACATTTTTTAACAGATGTGTCTATGCAGGGAGAGGGTGAAGAAGTTTTATTAAATAAAAGGAACATAATAATTTTTAACGATGTATCACCTCCTCAATTTTTTCGTACTTCGTACTTACTTATTTGCACCTTGTAACGAGCGTTCAAATAAAAACGAGGTCGAGTTGGCTCTGACACATTGGACGTAGGGAGTAGCTTATAGCGACCAACTTAACCTCATTTCTCAACGAACAAACAATTAAAGGAGCTGCGGAAAGTGTCCCCCTCCTTGTTATAACAATAAATTAAAGCAGCTGCTGAAAGTGTCCCCCTCCTTGTTCCAAGCACTTTTCACACCTGTTCCTCAAAGAATTAAAGACATTTTCTAAGATGCTCGGGGTATTGTTAATTTCACGAATCTTGTCTATAAGTCGAGCCTGCAGATGGTTTAAATCAGGAATAGGCAGTTCAAAAATAGTGTTTTTAAGGTAAGGCCACAAAAAGAAATCACACGGCGTAATATCACATGACCTCGGTGGAAATTCATGTTCAGCATTGAGACTTATTAGTCGATTTTGGAAAACTTCCCTCAACATATTCATCGTCTCGCCTGCCGTATGTGCCCTTGCGCCATCTTGTTGAAAGTAAAAGTTTGTAATTTCGTTTTCTTCCAGCTGGTTAACAAAAGGAGCGATAATTTCTTCTCTATACCTTTGCGCAGTAAGAGTACCATTAAAAAAAATAGGTCCATAAATCCTCCTTCGATTGAGAGCACACCAAACTCCAATTTTTTGAGCGTGTAGAGGGCCCTCGACAAAAAAGTTATCTGGTTTTTCAGAAGACCACATTCTCATATTCTGTGAGTTTACGTAACCACTTAAATGAAACCAGGCTTCATCAGAAAAAAAGGTGATATTATGAAGTTCACCGTAGTTGCTTAAAAACCATTCACAAAATACAGCCCGTCGCGGAAAATCAACCTCATGAAGTTCTTGCTGACAAGTTAAACGATAGGAGAACAAACGCAAATCTTTTTTTAACACTGTGTGGCAGGTACCGACTAGTGCTGGCAACTGAAATCGGTTTTTTGGATAGTCGGTTAACCGGTTTCGGATAATTCGGATTTTTATGAAATCCGAAAACCGGTTATTCGGTTATTCGATTCTTCAAATATCCGAAAACCGGTTATTCGGTTATTCGAATCTTCAAATATCCGATTATTGAAATAACCGATTATTCGATGATCTACTTCCTTTTTTTAGAGATCGATTTGTCCGATTGCAATTGACCGACTTCCAGATTTTTGTAGACTTTTTTTTTTAGACAATTTCTCCGGTCTGTCTTTGTAAAGCACCGATTTTCAGATATCCGGTTTTGGCGATTCATTCGAATAACCGGTTTTATCTGAAATCGGTTTTTACGGAACCCGGTTAACCGGTTTCACTTTTTTCCGGTTTTTGGCAGCACTAATACCGACTGATACTCCCACCATTTGTGATAAAACACGTACAGAAGTTCTTGGCGCAATTTCCATTATTTGTTGGACATTTTCTTTTAATTCTTCAGTCCACTTTTTAGGTCGGCCGCTTCCTTCTTTTCTTGTTACACTGCCCGTTTCACGAAAAACATTAACACAACGCTGAACTGCACTTTGAAAAATTTTGTACTCAACAACGCCGGGAAATTGATTTTGAAATTCTATGAAACATTCCTCAATAGAATACTTCCATATTCCATCAATCTTGCGTCCATTTCTAAAGTAGGACTCTATGATAAACACTTTTTGTTCTTGAGAAAACACCATTTTAAACGCTTTTTAAAACGAAAATATTCAAATTGATAGCGGCGATATAGCGCTTTGACAGATGACGTTTAAGTTCATTTGCTATACGCTACGCCCTACGTCCAAATTTTCAGAATCAACTTGACCACGTTTTTATTTGAACGCTCGTTATATTGTACGCGGCGCATTCGCCATTTTCTACAATTTTGAATTTATTTCTTAATTTCAGTTTAAAAAATTATGAAAATAAAAATTTCAATACTCTCGCGAAACTACAAATTCAATTTTTACTGCATCAAGAAGCAGCGTTAAATACGATGATTGTTAAATATTTAATTCTTTGAGACGTATTTTAATATAGGAGGCGACATTATGGTTTAACAGAAGAACTCATGGGTAGGAGACTGATTAATATGACATAAAAGTTGACGCAACCCTTCATGTGTCCAACAAAACTCCTACCGACCCCACACGCACGCTAGATTGATACAGGATAAGCGCCAATTTGCGCCTTCTGCTGCACGAAAACAAAAGAGGACTGACCCTCGGCCCGCTATATTTATTTTCGCCAGACAAAACCGTAAGTCATGCCCACAGAAAGGGGGTTCATAAACGCGATTAACCCCGTTCAGCGCCTTCAAAAGAAGCGATGACACCCAGTCACTTTCCACCCCTCTCCCCTTCCCTTGCCGCCGTGACGGACATATTTGCTTTTTATTCAAAGTTTCTCGGTAATCACTTAGAGGGAATTTCATAACCGCGGGCGGTTATGCAAAGAATATAGAGACCGAGCTCGGGTAGCAGAATGGAGGTCGTTAAGTCTCTCGGGGAAGGCTGCATTATTTAGGTGGACGGCCGAATGTGAGACGAGCGCTACGCTGCATAAGAAAAGGGGAAGGAATCTTCCTTCTTGCGAGTCTAAAGCTCCAAAGAGCTCTGATTTGTCCTTGAAATAGTACATAGTACAGAAAAAAGACTGTCGTAGACACTAACGAGAAGGTACATACAATCTGTTATTCTCTTGGTAAACACATTTATTTACTGTTTAATTACACTGAAAGAAATGGGCTTATTAAACTGTTTATCTAGAATAATGTGTATAAGCGCATATTAAAACTTTTATAACCAATATACAACTTTTATTAAAAAAAAGCAATCATCTCCATACTCATTATTCAATCAGTTTAACTGGAAGGTGCTTAATACACCTTATGCATCTATGAAATAAAAGTTATAATGAATTACTTATACATTATTAGGTGTTATAGACTTTATGTTCCAATTGCAAAGTAGGGAAGATTTGTTGTATAAAGACCAGTATCCGAATTTGTATATAACAATTGTATTAACAGAATTATTCGTTCTTATACTGAATATGTTTCCGTTTTTAACGTGTAAAACGCATCTTATAATGGTTAAGTGATCGTCACCTCTCGGTCATCATATGTCAGACCCGAGAGCGAAGTGCGCCGACTCAATAAGAAACCTGGTTATTCCAGCCGCTGATTTAGGGTTCGCCACACGAGCTCATCCCTTCTAAAATTTCAGTTTCAGTAGCATGCTATGCATGAAGCAGAATGGTACTCAAGTATCTTATACAGTCCACTTTTATTGTCCATACATGTTCAATCATCGTCAAAATAAACACACAAAACCACAACGTCTTTATTATCTTTACTCAAGAAGAGAAAATACAACAATCGTAAAATTTCCGACAGTCCGCTGTGCATCGACTTACACACGTCTAGTTTGATGAAAATGGACAGTATATGCACAATACTGCATAATAATTGTGGGATACATGATCATATCGCGTTGTGTGAAATGGAAAATTATTATGTAAGTATCTAACTGTTTTATGGCTTGTAATTGTTTTGTTTTTTCAAATGTAAATCTTGTCTAAATCTTAAAAATTATTATTTTGTAGGTCCTATTAGAAATCGCTGATGTTAAGTTTTACATAAGATGGAGGAACAGAAGGTTAGCGGTGACAAAGAAGAGCATGGGTATAAAGTCAATCAACCAGAGGAAATAAAATTATATGGAAAGAAGCTCAACCTTTCTGGGGATGCTTCATTCTTAAGATGGAAGAGTTATAGTGCAAATTCTCATGTAATACAAGAAAATACGGGTGCATCGTTGCTAAGAAAATAAACTGGACAGTTTTGGGAGCGATTTGTCATCATTTTTAATGCTTAAAAGTATGTTTTATGTATGTTTACATTAGAACCTTAGCTTGTAATTACAGTTATCCAATAAAATTTCTGAAAACTTAATGACATGTTTTTAACTCATATAGAGTATACAACAGTTTAATACATTTATTATTATAAAACTTATAACCAGTACTAGATGTTCTAATAACGATATGGAACACTTTAATAACAGTTATTGCTATTATTTCGTAAAGGGTATAAAAAATGTTGTATACTAGTTATACAATAATTTAATAAAGAATAAGGTTTATAGTCACTATACAACTGTGCTAGCAATACGCGTTTTATATCCAATATTCACCTGTTCAACTGTCACATATGTCTTATAATGGTATATAGAATTCTAATAAAGAATAAAACGCATTTTTTTCAGTGTAAATTTTACAATTTGCACCCTGATAAAAATGTGGAAAAACGAAAAGTTCCTGTTTGAACATAAGCTACGTGTACCATCGTAAGAACATGTATTTACCTTGAAAAAATTTTCATTATTAATAAAATGGACTAGCCTCTACATTTACCCCAAAAAATTCAGAATGCCGCACAACTTAACGTTAAAATATGAACCCTAGCGTCCCAGAACCCACCAAATATGCAGTTTCACATCACATCTGTTCGTCCAGGTGTTGCCGCCGTCCTTTCCCTAATCTGGGGCCTTCTGCTGTGCGGCGCGCCCTGCGGTTGCGGCCTCACCTCCAGGACCATCCCGTTTCTATTAGCCGGACTCGGAGTGTCCTGCGTCGCTTGTCTGGCCGTTTGGGGTCTGGGAACGCTGGCGCTCGTCGTGGGAGGCCATGGGGAGGCCCTGGTTTGCCGCACACTCTACGAGAAGCCCCATTTTGAGATGCTTTCCGACCTGGTGGACCCTGGGGGAGTTTTCTTTGGGAACGAGGGCGTCTTTGGCATGTTTAGAAAGGGAAATGATAGTGTAAATGTTACAGATGTACTCAGGTATGATCTTGTTTGTTTGTTGATTGGTGTTAATGTACAAAAGTATTTACAGTCAGTCAAAGAAGAAACACACTCAAAAAACTTACGTGTAAAGTGAAGATTTGTTTAATATCTAATAAAATACTTAATAGTAATAATAATAAAACATATAAGTAATGTAAAATTAACACACAAAATATGAAAACAATACAGAAACACTCAATCTAAGATAAAAAGTTCACATTCATTAAAATTTAAAACAAAATACAATGTTCATTTGAAACATAGGCTAATGACACAACTAATTATGAGCAAAAATTCATTAAATTGGTTTATGTCATATTTTACCAGTTACAGTTTTTCCAAATAAGATCCGTCACAGTGCATTAAAGTTGGATTTAATATGCGGTATGAAAGGTTGAGATCTTATTCTAAATAATTTTCTTGCCACATAACTTGACAAACTCGCAATTGGTTGGTGCGTATGTATAAATATTTACCTTCCATTTGGGTGAATTAAAAAGAAATAACTTCTCCTCACATTTTTGTAATTTTGAAAAGTGGCTTTTTCAAGCATTCAAATTAACATCGACCTTACTTACCTTAATTAAATGAGACTAAAATATATAAGCTACTACCCCTTTGTGTTTTTATGGCTGCATTACTGTTTTTAGAGCTACTCGTTTAGTTGGTACTTGAACCGTAAACATTTTAATCGTATATCCTAACAACAATATTCAACACTACCACTCCAAAAACTACATTACCCTTAACTTTGATAATTACATACTTGGAAGTTTTGTTTAGAATTATCATCCCTCCGAGGAAGTCATTTACTAGGTTTTTGCTGCACAAAATTAGTAGAAAATAGTTCCCGAACCTAAATATTGTCGGGGTTTTGTAGGACTTTCTCTGTTAAGATAATTAATTTTGGACTAAATCTGGTATGACAATTATTTCGAGGGAGATGAGACCCTCACCAACAGGACGGCCCATTTTTTTACTGCTGTAGACCCTGTAGATATTATCTAAACCATAACAATTTTAGTTATATTTATATCAGCCAATTTATAAAGAACATCAAACTCTTAAACTTTTGCGAAGCTCTTTACCGAGAAACTAAATTTTCATTAGTTTGTTCCTGAAAGTTTTTCTCTCTAAAAACAAATTCTAACACTTAACAATATCGCAACTTTTTTAATAAAGTACAGCTCCTTAAAAGAACATTTGCTTCTTTGTTGCCATGTCTTCAGATTACTTAAGTTTTTTGCGAATACTTTTTGGGAATAAGTTAAAATAAATTACCTGCGCTTTGATGAAAATTATCGTGTTACAGAAATTGCCAGCGGAATCAGCCAGTGTACCACACTTTCCATCTGTACAATAAAATAAATGTAAACACAGTTACAAATCACAAGGAATGGGACGACATGAAGCTTTTATTTTCCAACTTTACAGCACAGGAGAGCAATTTGGAAATTTTAGGACCTTCCCTTCAGCTGAACTTACAAGTAAATGAATTGTAAATTGGCAAGTTGTAGGAATTAACTTAAACTGCTGCTGTAGTAAAATAGGAGAAATTTTAATAGTTGCTTTGTTTGTAAAACAGACCAATAAAACTCAATCTTTACTGTTCAGATTCTATCGTCGCTCACCTCTACCAACCTGACAACACACCGGACGCAACTTACAACTCCAATAACAAGGAGAGACCTCAAATCCTTCGCAGATCAATTGAACACAGTGTCTAGACAACTGTCAGATCCCATAAGTTCGAGGAAAATCGACAATTTGGCCTTCACGGTAAGAAGAGTTATAAACAACGAGTTGCGCAAGCTTGTTGAGATTCAGAACAGGATGTTGTATAAAATTACAACCTTAGAAGTACTGCTGCCACCTCTTCATAGGCAGGTGAACCAAACGTTGTCCCATTTGACAGCAGTCCAGTACTTCCTTGACAACGAATCTTGGCAAATTTCGGAAAGGGTAAGCATCAGACCCACATTTTTATTACAATTTTTACTTTAATCCATACAGGTTATTTCTAATTAATGTAGCATGGATCAATAATTAAATAACATTTTAATAAACGGAAACATTCACTTACAATTAGAGATAGATTCGCAATATAAGTTTTACTAACAAAAGAAAATATATAAAGTCCAGTTTTCACTTGTACTGTAGGAAGTAATCTTTCTTTAGTTGATCAAAACTTTTTCTATTTCAATCTATATTTCATGCCGATAACGTACATTCATTCAAACAACTGAACATTTACCATTTATCTTGCTGTATTCGGGAGCATATGGAGTATTTGAAAATGATAAATAAGAAGCGAAGTTTCTTTAAGTTCAGTGTAGTAAATTTTATATTTGCCTGTGCACAATTCCGCTGATTTCAGTAACTAAAAGATTATTTTTTATAAACATAACTTCAAGTTCTGGTATTTTAAAAAATTGGGTTGTTCTATGACAGATGATAAAAGAGAAAAAAATTCAAAGGGATACAATGTCTACCATTTCAACAAATAGTTTTTATAAAAGTAAAGTAAAAATTTTTCATTTTCATAGTGTTAGATATAACATACAATGTATAACATTCGGAAATTGTTCAGAATATACAGCGTGTTAGATATTTGTCTACCATTATTTCAGTATAAGATAGATTAAGCATAAATGAAAAAAAGTTGTTTGAGTTTAGGACCATCAATAATTAAATAATATTTTAATAAACAGAAACATTAACTTACAATTAGAGATAGATTCGCAATATAAGTTTTACTAACAAAAGAAAATATTCTAAAGTCCAGTTTTCACTTGTATTGTAGGAAGTAATCTTTCTTTAGTAGATCTAAACTTTTTCCATTTCAATCTATATTTCATGCCGATAACATACATTCATTCAAACAACTGAACATTTACCATTTATCTTGTTATATTCGGGAGCATATGGAGTATTTGAAAATGATAAATAAGAAGCGAAGTTTCTTTAAGTTCAGTGTAGTAAATTATATATTTAGCTAGTGCACAATTCCGCTGATTTCAGTAACTAAAAATTATTTTTTATAAACATAACTTTAAGTTCTTGTATTTTAAAAAAATGGTTTGCTCTATGACAGATGATAAAAGGGAAAAAACTTCAAAGGGATACAATGTCTACCACTTCAGCAAATAGTATTTATAAAAGTAAAGTAAAAATTTTTCATTTTCATAGTGTTAGATATAACATACAATGTATAACATTCGGAAATTGTTCAGAATATACAGCGTGTTAGATATTTGTCTACCATTATTTCAGTATAAGATAGATTAAGCATAAATGAAAAAAAGTTGTTTGAGTTTAGGACCATCAATAATTAAATAATATTTTAATAAACAGAAACATTAACTTACAATTAGAGATAGATTCGCAATATAAGTTTTACTAACAAAAGAAAATATTCTAAAGTCCAGTTTTCACTTGTATTGTAGGAAGTAATCTTTCTTTAGTAGATCTAAACTTTTTCCATTTCAATCTATATTTCATGCCGATAACATACATTCATTCAAACAACTGAACATTTACCATTTATCTTGTTATATTCGGGAGCATATGGAGTATTTGAAAATGATAAATAAGAAGTGAAGTTTCTTTAAGTTCAGTGTAGTAAATTATATATTTAGCTAGTGCACAATTCCGCTGATTTCAGTAACTAAAAATTATTTTTTATAAACATAACTTTAAGTTCTTGTATTTTAAAAAAATGGTTTGCTCTATGACAGATGATAAAAGGGAAAAAACTTCAAAGGGATACAATGTCTACCACTTCAGCAAATAGTATTTATAAAAGTAAAGTAAAAATTTTTCATTTTCATAGTGTTAGATATAACATACAATGTATAACATTCGGAAATTGTTCAGAATATACAGCGTGTTATATATTTGTCTACCATTATTTCAGTATAAGATAGATTAAGCATAAATGAAAAAAAGTTGTTTGAGTTTAGGACCATCAATAATTAAATAATATTTTAATAAACAGAAACATTCACTTACAATTAGAGATAGATTCGCAATATAAGTTTTACTAACAGAGGAAAATATTCTTAAGTCCAGTTTTCACTTGTATAGTAGGAAGTAATCTTTCTTTAGTTGATCAAAACTTTTTCTATTTCAATCTAATTTCATGCCGATAACGTACATCGAGACGTACATTCATTCAAACAACTGAACATTTACCATTTATCTTGCTGTATTCGCGAGCATATGGAGTATTTGAAAATGATAAATAAGAAGCGAAGTTTCTTTAAGTTCAGTGTAGTAAATTATATATTTAGCCTGTGCACAATTCCGCTGATTTCAGTAACTAAAAGATTATTTTTTATAAACATAACTTCAAGTTCTTGTATTTTAAAAAATTGGTTTGTTCTATGACAGATGATAAAAGAGAAAAAAATTCAAAGGGATACAATGTCTACCATTTCAACAAATAGTTTTTATAAAAGTAAAGTAAAAATTTTTCATTTTCATAGTGTTAGATATAACATACAATGTATAACATTCGGAAATTGTTCAGAATATACAGCGTGTTAGATATTTGTCTACCATTATTTCAGTATAAGATAGATTAAGCATAAATGAAAAAAGGTTGTTTGAGTTTAGGACCCATATCATATTTTTTTTTTCGAAAACTGTCATCATTAGTCGACATTTTCGTTAAATTTTCAGTTGACAAAGTTATCCTTTTTTCCTCTTTCGTTCAAATTCTGGACTTTTCGGATAGTATCCAACTGATTTGCTTTTCAAATATTATATTAGCTTTGGAAATTTTCTGATATTGACATTTTTTTGTTAATCAGTTACTTTTTAACATAGAATGTACTGTCCATAACGTCAAAGATTTAATTTTATTAATTTTAGTTCGAAATATGCCAGTAATACCGCTTCGGACACTTTTTGAATTTTCTTCGAACTACACCACCCTTTGAATTCATTGTAGGCAATCTCGTATTGTCTCGACGATTTTTTGGGGATTATTTGTGAAACAGCACTTTGTGCCACTTCCAATACTTCCCCTGGTAAATGCTCGTCTTCACTTTCCGAGCTCAATTTAAATTAAACACTATTAAAATATGAATTGTAATATATAATTCTGACACTCACTACGCCTAAACCGTATTGATTCAAACACGGTTCAAACGAATTCAAATATCAATTAAATTGTTTTATATAACACAATTGTCTTATTTTATTGCAGTTATCAAAAAAATATTGTTTGCATCTCGAATTGCTTTTGCGTTCTCGCTAAGCTCGTCAAAATAATTTCCATTCTTGAACGCAAAAACCATAAAAAAACCATTTCGCGTTCTGGATACAAAAACCGTCTAATAAAATTATGGCAGTCAACTTCCACTGTATAAGCACATTTGGCGCACCCGGTATTGGAAAATAACTTAGTACATTTGCAGTAGATAAAAAAAAGCGATTTTTTTTTTAAGAAAAATCTACTTCAATGTCTGTCGTATAAAGAAGTATCGTTTTTATTACAGACGAGACGTCGATTCATTTCCCGAATCGAGTGCTACTTGGAGGAGCTGAGTAGTCACGTGGGCGATAAAGTGACAAAGGAAATAGGAAAATGTCGCCCACTTTGGGAGATTTTCCACTCCGCCAGATTCTACGTTTGCAAATTAATTGTGGACCCCACGGTAAAAGGGAAATGCATTTAAATATTTCACATTACGTTCTGCTGCTGATTTCAGAGCACATTTTCGCAAATTTTCCTCTAGTCTGTGATAATCAAAGCCTTAGTAATACGCGCTCGCCAACCAAAAAGAGACAAATTTGAATTTTAGGTTCATTTATGCAAAAGATTATTTTATTTTAACTGAGTACAAAATAAAATTGATCTGAAATGTTGTTTGACAATGTTTTATAAGAACTTCACTGATGAGAACGATCTTACCATGGAGGCTTATATTTTCGAATACTTTATAACCCCTGATCTATTTATTTTACAGAATGGAATAGCGTTTTCGAGCTTCTTCTTAATTTTACTGTTTCTGACAATGGCTCCCGTAGTCATAAAACTGGTGGAACATTACAAGGAGGGTAATGAAGATATATTAACTTCGATATCGCATAGGTAAGATAGCACTTTAAATGTATAGACGAAAAGAGCGTAAGAATTTATCTTAATTTGCATCTGAATTCATCTTACTTAGCGGCGTTAATGGGCACCGGTGCTAAAACGATCTTTTGTAGTACGTTTCGGGCGGTTATATTAATACAAATTGTAGTAATCGGGGTTAAGCGATATTAATTAATGTCTGGTGATGTATTAACGGACGCGGACGGTGCAATTACATTTTAACTTTAGCCGAGCCGTGTGGAAATTATTCCAACACGATGTCTTCTTTTTAGGAACAAACAGTAGGTACCTAAATAGACGGCAGTTACTTGAACAAAAGTGGAGGTTGGATTGGAGTTACTCGGAAAGTCTTTTCAATAGCACTAAGTTTGTACCTACATAAAAAGCTTTATCATGTACCCAAATGATTAATATAATGCTGAATGCACGTAGATCTACAATTAAATACAGGGTGTTCAATAACACGAGACCAAAAATTAAGGAACGTGAGATTGTGATTAAGAAATATGCACAAAGACGAAGCAATGTCTCTATTTCTTAAATATGTGGATGTTCTCACCTACTTCATAAAATATTCATTACTGCCTTGCAGATTTTTGTAATTTCTATCGAAATACACCCAACACGATGTTGCAGGGACAGCATGATGATGGAAATCGCGGGAACCTGGGCCACCCCGTCATCCTCGTAAGTAGGGGAAACCCAGTAAAAGTTTGACTTCAAGAATTAAATTCAATGGACTTTCAGGACCCCGGAATTGCCTTCACGGGAGACGGCGCCCTCCCACGCAGAGTCGCCGCCAACGCCTACTGTGACTAGTCCGGAGTTGGGAAGGTATATTACTAATTCATACGAAGTCAAATTGTCCAAATATTTAACGCCTGCTGCTGTGTCGCACGTTAAAAATTAATTTTCCGCTTTAGGCGTAAAGCCCAGACGAAGTTCTGTTGCCGGATGAGAAATTAATACGAATTTAGGTTTCGGAATAACCGCATTATACAAATTATGCAAGGCGATAATTTAGAAGTGGCAGAAATGTGAAGGGAAATTGATAAACAAAATATTTTATCGTCAATCGTCAATAGAGCCTTGCATTACCATTAGGCCAAGCAAATAAGATTTTTACTCGAAAAAAGTCCTATCCGCGAGATTATTGTAAAATTGTCTAAAGGAACATAATACAAGACATCTCTCGTCTCGTGAGTCAAAAGCTTTTATTAGCTAACTTTTCTATTTAAACAAATAAGTGAGGAAAACAGTTTTTTCACTTTGCAGGGAAAACCATCAATTTTAGCGAAAAGTGACTCACAGACAGCTTATAGGGAGTAAAATTATCTACAAAATGAGACTGGTTAAATTAAAATCGGTTAATAAACAAAAAAGTTATTGCAAAAA